ACCTATTCACCCCTCTCTAGGTTAAGTGTCTTGGTCTTCACATGTATAATCATGAGAGAAGATCCACTTCGGGTTCCCCCTCCTAGACAACACTTACCCTTACCATTTTTAGACATTTTAGGACTTTGCTTACTTGTGGAGGTGATGGGTTAGGGTTATCCTTAACAAACACAATATTGAATGTAATGGGGGTGGTGTTTTCATTTGTCCTTTGTGCTCACTCTTAAGGAAGCTCACCTTAGCGCGGAAGGACTTCTTCTACTCCTTAAGCCCACAAATGTGAGCATTGGACTTCACCAAGTCCACATGAAGTGCTTCCTTATCTTCTTCACTCATTTGAGTCTAGTGCTCAATGAAAGCAACTTTTCACTTTGTTTCAGATATTCCTCATATAATTGATTGGAGGTTCTCAACACTTTCGGTCTCATCTTCACTCATAGAGACTTCAACTTTTAAGTCATCCACATTCGTGGTAAGACTCGACTCAACTTCCCTATCTTCCTATTTGGAAGTCGCTCTTGGGAGAGAAGGGAGGCATGTGAACTTGCGAAGGCTGTGAAATTTTATTCATCACTTTGAGAAGAGAATTCATAACTTATTGTGGACTCACTTTCACTTTCACTCACCTTAGCGTTTAAGGCTTTCCTCCTTTCTTTAGGTATGTCCTTCCTTAGTACTCGGACATTCTATAGCTACATTTATAGCATTGTAGACCCTTTCTTCTCAACCTCGTGTCGAGAAGTTTTTCCCCCACTTTTTTTCCCTTTCTAGGAGACTTAGGTCTACTTGAATTACCTTTTGACCTTGAGGACTTGACACCAATAGTCTTAAAATATTTTTTTAATTTCTATACAGGATAGACTATGTCCTTTTCTCCTAAATGGGGTGACTTAGATTTACCCCCTTCTTCAATTTTTGAATTCAAAACAACACCGTTCATTTTCTTGGGTGGAAGAAGGTTCATCTCGAAAGTCAAAATTAACCCAACTAGATCTTTGATCGACACTGAAGCCATATTGATGCTCATCTCTAATGAGGTTACCTTCACATGAAATTTCTCTGGTATAAGAGATCTAAAGTTTTTTACAGAATTGTCCATTTTGGTATCTAATGCAAAGAACAAAAATCACAATATCGCATAATTTAGCATAAAAATCACTAAATGTTTCTTCCTCTTGAATTCTCAAAGTCTCGAATTTAGAGGTGTACCTTTGGATACGGTACACCGTGACCATTGTAGTTCCCTTATGAGATACCACAAGAATGTCCAATGCCTCCTTGGAGGTCTCGCATTTTGCGATTCTCCGAAATTCATTCAATGTCATGAGATTGAATATCGCATTCAAGCCTTTTGAGTTCCACCCCGCTTATTCGATCTCAGTTTTTTACGAAGTCTTTGGAGATTTAACTTCAACCACCGCTTCAACACCTTCTACCGGCGTGGTGGCGATGGGAGGGCTCCAACCCTCTTGCACACTCAATCAAGCTCTCTTATCTATGGATTTTAGAAATGCTCTCACGCGAGTTTTTCAATACATGAAATTAGACCAGTCAAATAGTGGTGGTCATGCAATTGAACCTCCTTCTTTTTTAGGACTCCATTTGAGACTAACTTTTACTCATAGTAGAAGGCAAAACACCTAGGAGTATGAAAAAATGAGATGTGCTTACAATTGTCTACGTTTAACTAAGGGCAACTGTGCCTACAATTGTCCACGTGCAACTAAGGGCAACTATGTTCTAATACTAATTGTCGTTCTAGGAAGGGGAGAGATGTTGTAGATCTTCGCTCACGATTATACACGTGGAGCGTATGAAACTACCTAGAGGGGGTGAATAAGTTTTTCGATTTTAGCTCAATCAAATACCAATTAAAAACTTATTACTACCTCAATTACCTTTTCTCACTTGAACTGGTAAGAACCCTTTTCAACCACTACGATCCTTTTACCCATGAGAATTCATATTATTAATTTTATCAATTAAACACTTAATCTCATTCGGGGTACCCAAATCACAAAACCCAAAACCCAAAATGCAACTATGGATGATTTATAAGTCAAGTATTCAATCCATCAAACATATAGTACGTGTGTGTGCAAATAATCACAAGTGTATATGTAAAAACAATAAAACATATAAGTGATTTGTTGACGCGAAAAACTCTCCTCGAAACGAATCACAGGGAACCTTTATCGGTTTACCAAAACTTAATCCACTACCCCAAAGTCAATATATAAGGACTCGAGCCTTATACCTCAACTAATACCATAGTTAGATGTTCCATTCCTTTAATATGTCTCTCCAACATTGTGTGTAGCTTCACTTGGATTCACATCCGCAAAGGATCCCTTAGGCCTTGAGTGATCTTGGGCAAACAAACTATCCACGAAATGCACACACCAATGGTTTGGTTCAAACAATTCAAGATCTTTAACACCAAGTTGTGAGGTTGAGTAGAATCTCTAGAAGATAGTCTTGGGTCTTAGTGATGTATAGTTATGGTAGAAGCTCTCTAGTCTATATGATAGATTTCTCTCTCAAAAATAGTCTAAAGACTTACCCTAGTAATAGAAAATCACTCCTTATTTATAGGCTCGGAATTAGGTTAATATTGGTCAAAAAAAAAATTTTAATTCGCGAATGACCACTCAATTGGTGGGAGGGTGATGGTCCTGGAATGAAAATCACATTTCGCAATCATGGTGACCGCTCGAGCTATCCCAAAGGGCGAGCCTTGTTCTCCTCCATTTGACCTTTTACTTTATTTTTCACTAAGTTATTAAGAGACTGCTCTAGCGAAAGCCAGTGAGATAGGGTGGACCCTACTGAATTTTTAAGCATAAAATAAGCAAAAAACTTATACTCTTGAGCATTAAAGGGTGTTGCTCAAGAGGGGTCTAATAATGACGTAAACTATTTTCAAATACACAAAATGATTATACAAAATCTTTTCGTTGAAAAACACCTAGGAGCTATAAATAGATTGCTTCTAATTCCATTTAACCTTAATCCTCCTAAGTTATCTACCAATGGATCATCATTACCTTTATTCTAAGCTTGAAGGTGTTTTTGGAGTGTAAATAATGTACCTTTGTCGCTTGATCTTTCCCGCCTCCCTCAATGATGCTTTCAGATCTTCAATTATTATAACATCATGATCACGAAATAGATTGAGATTTACAATGGACACTACAAAATTATTCAATTACAAACATGTATCAAACAACCACCTTGCTCAAGTGGTTAATGATTGTACAATTATGGGCAACATTCAATTGAAAGAATACATAATAGAAATTGATACCTGAGATAAAGGGATTTCACCAAGTATGAGATAGGGGCAACAATTGGCATCATCTTGATCTTGACAATTGCATCAAGCCATGAATCGTGCAATAACAAAGCCTTTGAACAAATTTAGCAACTTTTACACCTAAAATAGTGCATAAAATTCACTAGTACCTTTCTAAAATTTTTTTACTTTAATTTTTTGACAATAATATTATTTAAGTAGCAAAAAGTAGTTAATGATGCATTGTAGAAAATGAACCCTTCTCCATGGAGGCCGAGATTAGTATTTCAAGTGTGTTGTGATTTTCACTACCAATGATTTCATGAGCATAGACTATAGTACACATCTAAAATGTTTTGTTTTCATTATATATGCATGGTCTTTCCATTCCTTTTACACTAATTCTGAGTCATGTTTGTATTATATTCACCAGCTAATAGTCAATCACTTGATTGTAGAATTCAAACTTTTCAATAGCAAGTTAGGCAACATAGAAAAGTTGTTGACATAATTCCTATGAATGGGAAAGGGATTCTCTTCGCTCCAAATTCAAAGTAAGTGCTGATATAAAATATTAGCGGGATCTTTTACTCAATAGTTTTCCTTCATTACTGTCACATTTTCTAATCCTTTCAATTTGTTACTTTTCTTTGTCTTTGTTTTTTTTCGTGGTTGTAATGATACTATTACTTATAAAAATCATTATGCTAGCAAATTTTAAGAAATATTATACAATAAAGTTGTGAACCAATTTCCAAAATTCATATGTTTAGTAAACATTGATGATCAATTAGTTATTGATATATGAAAAGAATATCAAAATGCTCAAATGTAAAGTTCATTAAACTTCACTTACCAAAAGTATAATTGCAAATCCTATAACATCATTAGGTATCAAGTATAACAACCCTCAAAATCTTGAGTGTAAAATAGCAAAGCATGAAAAGTAGACAAAGGGGCATTAAATATAAACTACTCGGGGTAACCAGCATAATCTGTGGATTTCGGGTGTTTAAGCTTAGATTTTCTACAAACTGAAAGAACAAACAACAAGCACACATCACCATAATGTAGATAGTTGATCAACTTTGTTACTTAAAACATAGACACTAAACTCAGGACACTAATTTGATCCCAAAAAAACACTGAGGACCTAATCGTGCTAGATTTAGTTTTCTAATTGTGCTAGATTTAGTTTCATCAATTTCTGATTTGAAGAAAATGGAGTTATTCGCCAAACTCATACAAATAAAAAATCTTATTTCTTAAAACTAGTCAATTTCAAACTTACTTTTTAAACTTGGTCATTTTTACACAACGTGATTCTAATTGGCGTCTGTATAGCTCAAAACATCATTCTAAACGACGTTTTTAAGTGAAAATGAACATGACAAACATAAATTTAAAAGTTACGACGACGTGATTTGAAATAACATGTTTTAAAAAATATTAAGTTCGAAAAATAAATTTGAAAGTGACTAAATTTTAAAAAATATTATTTAAACTTAATTTGAGAATTTAATACGAGGACTTAATTCAAAATTCAATTATTACATCAAAGTCACATTATTAATCTTTGATAACAAATTACGCCCTAAAACTTTGATCCAAAGAAAAAAAAAAAAAAGTACGCCCTAAAACATTGCTCTTGTTAAAAATAAGAAAATAATGATTTAAGACTAGTGATACCACTCCCCAGCAAGTCCTCCACCAGTTCTCACCCAACCGATTAATCCCTCCCTCTCTCTCTCTTCTCCAAAGCAGGCAAGAGGAGGCTGACTCATCTCTCACTTCCCGTCACTCTTGCAACAACTCCATGGACCAACAACAACAACTGCAACAACCCCTACTGGTTGATAGTAATGGTGGTGGTGGTGGTGGTGGGTCCACATACCCACGTAACTCCATGGGCACCACTTTGTATCTACCTTTCTCCGGCGAACAACGGATTTTCATGGGCGACTGCTACGATGATCTGCCTCTTGGCGATTGCGGGTACTCGAAGCCCTTTGTTGTTCTTGACGTTATATGGAACTTGGCATTTGTATTCGTGGCAGTGTTTGTGCTGTTGGCTACAATTAGAGAAAAACCTTCCACTCCTTTGAGGGTTTGGATTGGTGGGTATGCTTTGCAGTGCCTATTGCATGTGGGTTTTGTGTATCTTGAGTTTCAGAGGAAGAATCAAGCTGATTTTGGGATTGAAGAAAGGCTTTCATCATTTTTTCTAAGTCAAAGCAGGTAGCTTTAGTCTAACAAATTCATCATGCTTTTGTTTTTTACCTGATTTGGTCAATGTATGAATGGTTTTTGATTGCATTATATGGTGTCGATTGATCGTCAAGTCTTTTGACTATGATTTTTATGGGTGTTATTTAGCTTTAATTTCACATTTCCTAATCTTTTGGGAGTTCTTCTTTATTAAATAATGGCTTTTGATTTTTTTGCTATAGTTTGTTCCTGTTGTATTTGTTTACTATGATGAAAAATATGCACTATGCAGTGATTCTTCATTTTCTTCTTATTCCTGTGGTTGTTTTGAAGTCTCAATGCAAAGGCAGAGAGTTTTAGTTTAGCCGCCTACATCTGATGGAGTAAAAATCAGTTTTACAGTAATAACTAAGGGCTTCCTTAAAAATGTATTTTCGAGAAGGGCAGACCTATAAACATCTAGTTCTGGCTTCCTAGTAGCTTCAATATCTTATTGGAAAATATATGCTACTGACTTATGTGGTTTAGTCTTGAAAGTGAGGAATGGAGAATTGTTATATCTTTTAGGCTGTGATGTGGTTTGAATAACGGGGATAAGGAAATTTGGTAAGTTAAGTTTCAATCAATGTGTTGCATTGTGATTAATTTTACCAAATTCAGTTACAAAAGTCAACTTCCTTCACTATATGCATGGTTTGATCAATAACTTTAGGTTGCACATGTATAAGTCAAAAATTCATATAATTTTCTACTTTGGCTATTTGGGGAATTTTCTGTTTTTATGGTTGGTTTTCAAGATATTGCGAAGAGGGAACAAAGTTCTTGGATAGTCCATATGAGAGAGAGTATATTTTCTCCTTGTTCAGGCATATCTTTTCATTATCGAGGTCCATTGGATGAGTAGTCATCTTCCATTCTTCTTGAGCCTGGAAAAGCTAACTAGTAGATAGAATGATTCAGGAGGCAGTTTCTGTGGAGAAATGAATATTACTGGATGCTAATAAAGGAGATGATAATGTTCATCTTTAAAGGAGTCATACTCCTTTCTTTTTGTATATTTTATGGACAACACTGATATTCCAGGGCAGAGTGCTTAGCAGCTTGAAGGTTAGTGTTGGACAAAGAAATGCTGTAATAATTTTCAGAGGCTCATCTTGAGGGCCTCAATAGGATATGGATGTTTCTACTCTAATATCGGTTGGGTTCATTCCTTTGTTTACGCAAGCTTTTAAAGCAGGGTGTGATCTTCATTTCACTTTTTGAGTTGGTGAATGGGGCCCTGTGTATGTGTTCATCAGGATGTTTATACATCTTCTGTATCCAGTTAGTGACAGGAAGAAAAATTTATTTGGGACTTCATCTGGACATGGATGAGGGGCTCAATTGTGCAGTAATGAAGCAAAAACTTGTTCATTTGGTTGATATTGGTTTTGTGGTGATGTTTTCTAATTTCTTTGCCGGATGGGTTGCCTAGTATGCTCTGCACTTTGCCTTTTCTTTGACATCAATAATTCTTAGTACCTTCGTTATACTGCATGCGAAAACAATACCATTGATACCCGTAGTTGTTCAAACTCTAAAAAAAAAAAGTTACTCAATCCCTATTTCGGCGTCCCACTTTTCAGTTTATTTCTTTGTTTTTTTTTTGTTTGTTGATTTATCTCTTGATGGTTGTTCAGGAAAAAAAAATAAAATTATTACCCTTGAATGGTTGGGGGAGAGGGTTGACTCGAATGCAACCTAAAAGGGGATTGGGTTTTTGTTTGTTTGTTTTTTTTTTTTGGGGGGGGGGGGGGGGGGTTGAATTAGTTTGTTTAAACTTAATGACTATTTTGAGTTTTCTTAAATATGTACCAATTATGCAATATAGATGATGATATGATAAACAATATAAAATGGACGATGCAAATAAATTGTAGAGAAGAAGAAAGACAAACAAGATTTAATAGAAGTTCGGCCAAACCAATATAGCTTAAGTCCTATCTTTTGCCTCCTCCTTGGGGCTTCCTTACACATCCTTACAATCTCAAGTTCAATTAATGCAAAACTCTCCCTTCTCTCTGTAAGATGATTACTCTCAAAAGATTACAATAAAAGAGCGAATGCAATCTCTATTTCAAGTAATCTTCAATGTGTTTATCACTCATTCATAGCCCCAATAAGTCTCAAAAAGTCTCATTTCTTCAAGCCTCGTAAACCCCATTTATAGTTGTAAGAAAGCCAAGCAAAAAACTAGTCATTAAGCTCCAATAGACACTTTTGGTCGACCGTTTGCTTCCTTTGGTCGACCAGTTGCCTCCTCTGGTCGACCGAACCTCGCCATTGATCAATAAACAGAACATTTTTGTTTTTATTGTTTGAATTCCAATCCATTTTTCACCCTCAAAATGTTTGAATCGGACAAAGGTTTTTTTAGACCTTTCCATTGATTGATAGACAAAACCCTTATGTTTTTATTGTTTGAATTCCAAGCCATTTTTCACATTCAAAATGTTCGAATCGGACAAAGGTTGTTTTAGACTTCTCCGCTGATCGATAGACAAAATTCTTCTGTTTTTATTGTTTGATTTCCAAACCATTTTTCACCCTCAAAATGTTCGAATCAGACAAAGGTTATTTCAAACAAAGTTATGGCCTATGAAGTCTACTTTCCAAAACATCTTGAATCAGGTCAATTGGACATCATAGGAAAAAGTTGTGCTCACAATATTGAGCATATGTTTGCTTTTTCTATTTGATCAGATCTGTGCACTACTTTTCAACTTCCATGCCCTTTTTTCACCCCGAAAGCATTTGAATATGAAAATTACTATTTCAAACAAACTTGTCGCCCTTGAAATCACTTTCCAAATCCTTAAGAATTAGGTCAATTAGACATCTGACTAGAAAGTTTTTACCGAAATACCGATCCTTTGTCAAATTGGTTGACTCCAACTTTTTTTCTTATTGGGTTGTTTCTTCCACTCATTTGCCTTAATCCTTCCACCCTTCATAGAAAACAATACATTTGTCTTTCTAACTTGAAAAAACATCCGAGATGTGACCTTTAACCTTTATCGTTCTTCACTTATCAAGATCAAACCTACGGGTTTGTTGCATAAGCTTTCTATGCTAATTGCCTTCAATTCTTCTCATCTTCAATCAACCGATTTAGCATTTTACCCATGTACATCTTCTCATTCAATTCTTTATATCCAATGTAACACATTACATACCCAATGTGTCACATTAAACCCGTTTGACACTTTCCAACCAAACCCACACAAAGATGATTAGTAATATAAGAGGGTTTATTATTATCAAAATCTTAGTTTACCAATCAAAGGGTGAACAGAGAGAAGGTTATCCTTTGTTCCTCTAAAGAATTTTTAACCTTTGGGGTTCCTTGTGCATGAAAGTTCAAGAGATATTGTGTATTGATTTGACGAAATGAAGTTCTTTTTTTTAGATAATCGAGTTGTTTAAGAGAGTTGTGTCGTTATGTCGTACCATAAACTCTTTGTTTTAAACCAATAAAAGAAAGGGGGAAAATTCTTATATTGAGAAGTGTGCTAGGGTTACAAATAGAGGCATTATAATTGATATTATTAGTTGTAGTAATCTTGCAAAATGCTTTACTCAATGCCCTATAATCCATGTAAATGATCAATCCTTTGTACGATTTCCTTACTGGCAATAAAGCTCTTTTGTGTAAGGGAATTTTTTAAATCAATTGATCTAAGTATTGAAGTAGCATTGAAATGCTAGAAGTTGCAATGGGAAATTGTGCACTTGTTGCAATATAAGACTTTGTAGGAGGATCATGCTGCAGTTTGTGAAGGCTAAATGAGCTTCTTTGTTAAAAGAAAATTGGGTTTACTTCTGGTGAAGTCTAGCTGTAATCATAACAGTTGCTGAGTTATGGTATTGTTCTTATTTATTCAGATTCTGGAACAAAATGAGCTCACGTGACTGAGAGCTTGTGGCTTTGTCATCTGACAGGGGTAATTGTGAAGTACTTGTAATTGCATGAAAATTTTTGGAAGTTATAGAGAAGTGAAAAGGTTTTGGATCGTGTTTGGATAAGTTATAAGAACAGAACAGCAACTCATTTGACTTTACAACCGGTAGTCGCCAAGGTTCTCTGGTATTCTTAGATCTCTACAATGTCAAAGTGGAAAGGAGTAATATTAGGCTGTGCAATAGATGTTCCTGGTTGGAAGGTAATGAAGTAGTCACATCTATTGGATGCGCTCATGGAAGGGTCCGTCCTCCTTCACGACATTTCTTTTTCCTGTCATTTGCACTAGTGGACTGTGGACTGTGGACTGCTATCTGGTGACCGATAATTTATCATTTCCTTGATTGGGCAACCTTCTATTTTTATTTTTCCTTCTCATAATACTAGTGTCATGGATCGTAAAGGGATTGAATATGCATAGTAGGATTCCATTTACTTAGCAGCATTTCAATATTGTTCATTTGAATTTAAGTTATTTATTTATTAATGATTTGGTTAGCTTGTATTTCTTTGACTAGGATGTTTGGATAGAGTTTTAGTAGGACTGGAGTTTCAATTTTGGTAAGAGACTTGGTCTATAACCAAGCATGTCATGGTTGAGTATTTTTTGTGGAGAATTGTGTTTCTTGACGTAATCCTTGCGAGGACTTGGTAATCTTGTCTCTATTCTTCTTTTTCCATTCCTTCCCTATATCTATTGGTATCAATGTTTCAAGTGCACCGAAAGAGTTACTCAATCTTGCAAGATTCTAATTGTGCTATAGTAGGCTCTTTGGAGTTTAGCCTACGTTATCACTTTTGCTTCTTTCACGGTTAAGAAGTGGCAGGTTTTCCAACATTTTAGACCTCTACTCTTGAGAGAGAGTTATATATGTCTCGAGGGATCTCATTACTTCACATTAATGTGTAGTAGTTACAGGAAGCATCTTATTGTGCCAACTTTCATGATTGTAAAGTATATAATGTTTCAACTGTTAGGGAGGCTTCAAGGTGGTGTACTAAGCACTCCTCTGATTTTGAACCTGCTATAGCCAATGTTATAACATTTTTTTTAATAAAAAAATTGCTGCTTTAAATTGCTTCTTGGATCTAGGATCTCATGGTTAATCAGATTATTCAAATGAATACCTCTTATGGAGAATCTGGCATTGTACTTTCAGTGTTTATATTTTGACCCTACATATGTTTGCAGCCACCCCTCAGTGGGTTGGTCATAGACTATTATAAAATTAGGTAATTTTAAAACCACATGCATAGACAACAAAAAATAATCTCTCTGGATTTGTTACCAAATTTTGTTGAAAGTGTTAAAAAAGGAAGCTATTTTGACAAATGAAAAATAATTAGCCTTATATTCTGCTTTAACAGCATTATCAAGAGGATGCAGTCACTGAATACAGTAATTTCATCCATCTGGTGGGTGCTTGGATTCTACTGGATTGTTGTAGGTGGCCAAGCGCTTCTGCAAGATTCTCCCCGTCTTTACTGGTATGAGCTGTGCCATTAAACTTTGAGCATTCTAATTTTAGTTCAAAAGTGAAAGCGGTAAAATATTTGTATTGTTGGGCAGAGGAAACATAATTAGGCAACTTTGGAGTGCATATAAATGAAGGGAAAGAAGATAAAACTGTGATCCACTTCTAAGTTAATTTTTTCGCTTTTGGGACTCGGTGTGTATGGGCAACAGAGATTACTATGGGGAAGTGCCATTAGTTTTGGCATCTATATCCCACTTCAATTTAAGTTTTATGCTCCACCATGCACGGTTTCACTCCCCAGCGGCCGCTATAGATTTTCCGGCATTAGATTTTGATTTGACCGTGGCGTTCTCTCCTGGTGGTATCTTACCACTCCAAATTTTAATTAGTTCTATATGGATTGATATTTTGACCGGTTATTATAACCCAAATGGGTTATATCATATTTGACAAATTTAGATTTCAGCATGCCAAACCCCAATTTGATTGCGATCCGATTCAATATATATGAGTTACTATGGTTAAAAAGTTAAAAATTTAAATGAGTTATTGTCGGTAAAGGTTAAAAGTTAAAATTTAAATGAGCTATTATGGTTAAAAAGTTAAAATATAAATCGTAATATAAGCCGTTAGATCTAAACGATTTGGGTTGTTGTTGTCCTAAGCTAAGTTCCAGGCAAGTCTTATTATACAGATCCGATCCAATTTAAATGAGTTACTATGGTTAAAAATTTGAAATATAGGTTGAGTTACTATAGTTAGAAATTTAAAATTTAAATGAGTTATTATCATTAAAAGGTTAAAAGTTAAAATTTAAATAAGTTACTGTGGTTTTTAAAATATAAATAGTAATATAAGCCATTAAATCTAAATGATATGAGCCGTTAATGTGCTAAGCTAAGTTCCAGTTCAGTTTTATTATATAGATATAGGCAGATATATGATGAAATTGAGTGTGATTTGATAAAAGTAAATCAAAATTAAAATATTACTTGTTAATAACCAATTCTAGACTCACAAAATCGATTGAATTTGTAAGATTTAAGTTATTTGGACATAGGTTGTTTAAAAAAACCGTTGTATGATGGATTGGATTGGATTCAAAAGAAAAGAAGGAAAAAGGAATTGTAGGAATGAGGAAAGCATAATCCATAGTAGTATGAGTTGTCTATTCCCACACAATGATGATGGTGATGATTATGCTGCTGACTCCAAAAATGATGATAATAATAACATACGCATTTGACCAGCTTCTGAAATAAAGTTTTCTCTTCCTGGGCATTAGCGCATCGGGTATGTCTGAGGTGTCTTCTTCTGCTTCACTAATGTAATGCATAGAGTTTACAACCACAATCCTAAGCATTCATCCTACAAAAATTCTTGAGCAGCAGACATTTTTATCTTATTTTTGATGATTTTCTTATATTGTGCGAATAACTAGATATAGAGCCCTCAATGATGAATTATTTTTAACTAAATGCAGGTTAGCAGTGGTTTTTCTAGCCTTTGACGTGTTCTTCATGATCTTTTGCATCGCGATGGCATGTATCGTTTTCTTTGCTTTGTTTTGTTGCTTTCCAATTTTAACAACAGTTGCATATGCGATGACAATCGGAGAAGGAGCATCTGAAAGCGATATCAGAAGTCTACCTAGATTTAAGTATTGCCAAGATAATTCTTTAGGGACATTTGACAATATCAAGAAGCCAGATGAAGTTGGGTTAACAGTAGAGTCAAGCTGCACCAACTCCACACCTGAACTTGCTCTTCACCCAGAGGATTCTGTAAGCATCTATGACTTTTTTTTTTGTTCTCTTATATATTATTTCTGTTAAAGGTATTTTACAAATTCCTTATATAATTCCTCCATTCCTGCTTGGTCAATTCCTAGAAGGCCCCTATTAACGTAATAACTGAACAATCAAAGTGCGTTTACGTGTTCCCCCACTGGTTGTGCTATCATCCACTTGTGATGTGCCATAAAATTTTCATCATCACGTCATTTATTACCCTGTTGTTATGCTATAGTCTTCTGTAAACACTCGTTAATTAAATGTGTAGTCTTTCAAGTTTATGAGAAATGAGATGCATGACATGCTGATGGGATGATTTTAATTGGTTACTGACTAGAGCTGCTGAAACTTACTGGAGAATATGGATTTCTGACTGTCTTTCAAAAATTAGTGGTCTTATGTGAGTCCATTCTGTCCCATGATAAAGAGCAACTGATGAGGCTCGATTGTTGGAATTTATATCCAGTTGCTGGATAAATTATTCTACTTCTCGAGGCATTTTTAGGTGATAGTGCTAATCCTAGTAATCTGGGGTCCCAAATCTCGATGGTCTGTATATGGGAGGCTGAGTGAGATCGGTGCTAAGGAATTTATTCATAAAAAATTCAGTACTCTATGATAAGTAAATGTTATGCCTAATCATCTATAGTAAAAATTTAGACTAAAGCATCATAATAGTCAAAGAATCATAAATTTTTTTGTAGACAACGTGTACCTTATTATATTTTGAATACAATTTTAACATGTCTAGCGTTGGTAATTATATGTTTTCTCGTAGTATAAATACTCCCTAGTCTAATTTTTAAGTTTTGTTAGTCACATGTCAATACATGTTTATTGTTTAGTAGTAGAGATAGTCTAAAGTGTCGGACATGTCATCAAAGAAGTGTCGGACACGTGCCCTAAATTAAAATTTTATCATTTAATTATAGGCATGGATAAAAGAGTATTGGATACGTGTCCGTGGAGTGTCGGTGTTCAACTCGGATTTGTCACCTTCTTGAGAGTGTCTGTGCTTCACATAGTGAATATGTGTACAATCAGACACCAAGGAACGTTGCAGTGTGATCTTGTAGGAGATGCTAGAATGTGCTTATCTTTTTCCTTGGATGGCATGTGGTGGATAGAATCTTCTTGAGGTTTTCCCTCGACAACTTAAGATATGTTTGACATTTGATGATTTGGTTAAAAGGGAACAAGTCATTTCCGATTGGTGCTGCACGTGTAAGGGACTGGAGAATACAGTAAACCAGTACAGGACCTCCTTTCTCTTAGTTTGGTGTAGTTGGTGATGTGAGAGGGCAGTTGTTGATTTTCTATTATCCTGGCAGGGGGGTTCAGTTGGACAGGTGTAGACTGGCGGCTGGTAAATTTTATTTCTCGCATGGAAGGAGGTAAATGAAGATATGTTGAAGTAGGTGTTGGTGTTCAAATTGAGCATGTTTCTTTTGAGCTCTTTTTCTACGATGTTTCTGGTTAGTTGGCCCATTAAACAGATTCTTTTGTACATCACTTGGGATTGTTTAGTTATAGATTGTTCGCACTTTTGCGATCTATATATGCTAGTTTGAAGATGATTGATGGGATAGACATGGGGCTGGGGCCATCATGCAGCCTTGAAATTTAGCTTGGTCAATGTGGAGTAATGATGGTTTGTATGTCTCGGCGAGAAATTCTATGGTGGTTTGCATCATGTAAAACTTGTCATTCTTCCGATTTATTTTGTCATCAGATCCAAACTAAGAAGCACAGGCATAGACATGGGACACGGATATGACACGATATGGATATGCAAACACGACATTTTAAAAAAAATTTGGATACGGACACATTGGGGACATGCTATAGATAATTGTGTTTTCTATATAAAAATTTTGTAATATCGCAAATATAGTGATAATGATAAATTGTTTATAAAAAAAATTAGTACTTTATAACAAGTAAATGTTATGTCTAGTTATGTAGTGTGAATTTTTGGACCAAAGCATCATAGGAGTCAATAATCATCAACTTTTTTTTATAGACAATGTGTACCCAACATATATAATTTAAGTGATTGATCATCGATCTCATTTTTTCTTTTTCTCTTTTATAAAACTTTTATGTATCCTTTTGCTTTTATTATTATATATTGTGTACAATTTCAGCATGTCTAGTCTTGGTAATTATATGTTTTTTCACAGTATAAGATACTTATTAATTAAATTTTTAAACTTTGTCAACCACATGTTTTATTATTCAGTAGTAGACATAGCCTAAGGAAGTGTTGGACACGTCACTAAAAAAGTGTCGAACACGTGTTTGAAATTAAAATTTTATCATTTAATTATAAACATTGATAAAAGAGTATTGAACATGTGTTCAAGAGTGTCTGACGAGTGTATTTGTCTGACACGAATACGTCACCTTCTTGAGAGTGTAGGATCCAAACATTGTTTGTTAGTGTATGCCAAACATTGTTTGTTAGTGTATGCCATGTAGTGCTTTAGATTTGATGAACACTATAATATCACAAATTTAATTGTAAAAATTAAATTAAATGATGTAGCAATTTTTTGATCAACAATGAGGTAACTTCTCCAGCATTCACTTTTAAATATAAAAAGAAAAGGACTTTTACCCCTTATTGTTGACATGCATCATATCTTAGTCTTTGGTGGGAAGAGAGTCCATATGTTATTGTTGGTTCAATTTTGAGCAAAGGTTGAAGTGAATATTAGCACGTTTTTGACTTATTTTTGTGACATCCCTTTTCTATTACAAAAATAATTCTTTTAAGTATAGATAGTTACTACCAAGGATTGAAATATCGTGTCGAAACGTCTGGAACGTTTTGGATTTTCAACACACTAATATGAAATATGGGTTGAATCTCAAAATTCTATAGTTTTGGTCGAAACATCACTATGTTGGACCATTTTAGTTGAAACAATGTATAGATTCGACTGCACTCTAGGCCAAAATCCTCCAAGCCAAAACAAAAAGGGAACGACTCAAAAATTTGAGATTGTCCAAGCCAAAATCTCAAAAATCACGAGGGCAATAGTCCTCAAAGCCAAAAAAAGAGAGGAGGAAAAATAGGTCCAGGACTCCAAGTCTTCGAAGCCAAAAAAAAAACATAGAGATAAGAGAGAGAGGCACAATCGGCTCACCCAAACAAAATCGAAGAGATATAGCAAAAATTGTAGGAGAAGAGTCAGTAGCCTACCTCCTTAAATCCAAATTTCAACAGATCTAGCCTGCTGCCACGCAGATCTAGGGCTATGCTCTTCTCTCTTGGGACCTAGGTCTTCATTGCAGTGAGCCAGAAGCCATGAACCAATTATCTTCTTCTTTTCTCTCTCTCTCTTCGGCTTCGAGGCACAAGTTGCTCCTTTCTCTCTCTCTTTTCTCTGTCTGTATTTATCGGTGGAGCTTGGAGTCACAAGTAAAAGAAATAAAGAGTGGTGATGAATTACTTTTGTATTCAAAAATTAAATTGAAATTACTAATAACTAAAAGTAACTTACAAATAGTTAATTGAAAGAAATCTCCTGCTGCATCATATGAAGGTAAGATACAATATGAGAGATGAGAGAAATTTGTTTTGAATCCCCAAAGGGTTCTGGTTTGCTAAGAGGACTGAAGTCCTTATATAAGCGTGTAAGGATTTCTGAGAGAATCTTTGAAATAATTTTTCTTTTGACTTCTGTTGTTGTTTTAACTCAAGTAACTTGCTTTTACTTGGGTAGAATGTTTTTCACTTTTGCTTTTCGGTGGAAAAGTTAGAGGGAATTTCTTTAACTATGGTAAATGTTGACATTTAAGGACGTGCACGACTGCTGGGCCCTTGATGTCGACTGGAAATCTGCTTTCGGTGAAAAACAAACTGATTGATTAACTGGTGGCTACCTTGCTAGTGAAAAGAAGCCTTGTTGCTGAATGATTCCATCGAAATATATAATAGACAACTTTTCTTTCTTTAGATGATGAAAATAATGGTTGAAACTATGACTCATAGAGATAAGAATCACGGACTGCTAAGATTATAAGCATCATTGGGGTCTTGGGCATCCTGGAAGGAATCTAAAGCTAGACTTACTGATGCTTGTGAGCATGCAGAGGAACTGCTTTGATTTGCTGCTTGTTGGAGAAGCTTTTGTGCTAATTCAATCAGCTCAGATGACTTCTTTTTCTGTTGCTTACTGGAAATCCTTGGACGATGTTTTTTTCTACTTTGCTAATGGTTATGCCTGTTATTTTGGTGAAAAGACCCTTAGGGTTGGCATAACCTATTTTGCTAGAGTGCTAACTGTTGTTCCTGTAACCTTGAATCGTGTAGGAACCTTGACCGGAAACTCTTTTTCTACTTGGTCAATGATACGGTCGTGTTGGAACCTTGGCCACCAATTGAACGTGGAATTGTCGAGCAACATTATTTGCTATGATCTCCTAATGCCATTTGAAGATTGATGGGGATCGTGTAGGAATTAGATAGATATTTTAGATTAATCATGAGAGTAATTTAGTATTTATCTTTTAAGTATTTTCTTTTATCTTTTAAGTATTTTCTTTTAACTTTTAAGGGTTTAATTGTTATTTTGATTATTTATTTATTTTACGGTTTGTGATCTCCTCTTATATATAGGATGTGTGAACTCCTTATATATATAGGGGATACGTATTTATTGTGAGATTAGATTTTGATTATTATTGATTATAGATGTTGAATCCTTTTTCCTCAAATTCTCTCTGTTCTCATCCTTTTTTTTTTTTTTTTTCATTTCTCATCTCCTTCTTCTTCCCGTCTCATCACTACTTCTTTCTTAATATGATCTACATTAATTTGGTATTAGAGGTATTACGATCTACATTAATTTGGTATCAGAGTTAATACGATTTACATCAATTTGGTATCAGAGCCCAACTTCGATTCGTATAAATCACAAAAATTTCAGTAACACTGTTCATCAAAAAAAAAAAAATTTGTTTGTTGAAATCACTGTTCACGCGCATTGTTCATCGTAGCAAAAATCTTATTGTCTAGTTAAAATAAAAAAAAAAAAATGGAACCATCTCCAAGAGATTCAAAAAATTGCAGCAACATTCAAGCTGTTCCAAAAATTATAGAAACACCCCAGAAAGCTCCAGAAGTTTCAAAAATTGTAGAATCTTCCCCCAGAAGTTTTAGAATTACAGAAACATCACTCTAGAAGTTGCAGAAATTGCAGAATCTTTCCCCCAGAAGTTTTAGAATTGCAGAAACATCTCCAACAGATCTATAAAATTACAGAATCATTCAAATAAATTTTAAAATTTCTTCTTGATTATGGTATGCATACTCCCATAGAATTTGAGACTAATATTTTTATTCATTGAAAAATTAGAGAATTTGTAAAGGATCCAAAACATATTTTCTTTTATTTAAATTTTCTTGAAATTGTCAATTGCATTCTTGAATTTGTTCTTATATCATTCTTATCTTTCAAGAGTCACTCATGAGTTCCTCTAATAGTGCATGTGTTTCAAGAGTCTCTCGTCGAGGTCATCATCATCACAAGTCTATGTAAGTCTATAAGGATTCAGCACTTATGACCAAGTCAATTAAAGATCCTTTTACATTTTGTGGTACTCCGGATCCCAATCAATTCTTGGATTGGTTAGCTAATTTAGAAGAATATTTGGATTGGCATGACATGTTGGATTCCCATTGCATTCGTTGTGCTAAATTGATATTGAAGGGTTCCGCCGAAAAGTATTGGCAAACAATCCAAAGAAGTCTAGACCCCTTAGGTGAATCACCTATCACTTGGATTGAAATGAGATATAAATTGAAGGAGAAGTATTTGCCTACTTCCTACATGGATCAAGTTTATGACCAATGGCTCAATTTTAGACAACATTCTTCTAGTGTCTCTAATTACTTTGCCCAGTTTAATTATATCATGTACTTGTGTGACATTGTTGAAAAACTTTGGACAATTGATTAGTTTATTTTTGGATTGAAACAAAAAATTAGTAGAGAGGTCAAGCAATACACTTTTAATACGTTAGTTGTAATCTATCAATATGCTCTAAAGGTTGAGAGATTTCATAAGAAATTCAATCATAGCTTGATGGGTTCTCAATCACAGCCTACTGATAGGACATCTTCTAATTTTAATTCCACCATATATGAGTATCATGATTACTTGAATATGTTCATGTTGTTTTTGCATGTTTTCTTATTTGCAGGGTGACCATGGATTTGGATGACACTCTCACATACAAAAAAAGATGTTACTCATGTCGACTATTAATCCTCTTATCCGGCTTCATTAGATCAAAGCTCACCTCTTTCATACCAACAAAAGTCAATGCCTGAAGAAAATGAGTT